AGACCGGGAATGCGAAAGCATTATAGTTCCTTTTGGTGAAATTTTTCGATTGACATGTTCTACATGCCTCAAAGCTCTTTCTGATGATTCGGTGTGTGTGTTTGCGTATCCGTTGAGCACAAACTGGAAACATTGCTTGGCCCACCTCTAGTCAGCCACAACCGTGGAGCCGCCAGGCGTCGAGGAAGCGTGCTCCTCTAGCACCCCGGAAACCCCGGTTCATTCCCACCCGGACAAAAATATACCGAATTTTCTTTTTAAAGCCATTAATTTACTTTGTTTACAGGAAGCTCCCGGAGAAATTCGACGTAAATATAATCATTTTTTATGCGTTTTTACTTTTTGCGCCGTCGGCCATTCTTGGTACCATCGCTCGGTCACGCTGCCGACGACGCCGGATGTTCGCGTAATGGGGGATATATTGCTTTCGCATTAATAAAGCGAGTGAAAAAAAACACATCAAAAAAGAATAGCTTCCCTTTTCTTCGCGCAAATTATCGGAACGAAAGGAAAATAACGACATAATTTTTCGAGGATAACTGCGATGCCACTCTTCGACCCTCCCGACACTCTGCCGATGTCTCGAACAAATCTCATGCCACAACCGTCGGGACACGCTTCCCGCAGGTTCGCAGCCGCGTTCACGCAGCTCTTATCGGCGTCGTAGATCTTGCTGGCGGGTTTTCCGCCAAACATTTCGTCTGAAAAGAAGGCAAACGAAGTGTAGCGATTAGTACATTATGTGACTCCACGACAGCAATACTCCGTATCATGTTCAACCCTACTGCAGCCAACGCTACGATCTGGTGGAGTCAATGAGGCAGCGTCCGTGATTTCCGTACAGCCCCCCTTTTCGGGGTGTACCCCCGCCCCCCTCTTGTTTTTTCCAAGGCACCCCCTTAATTCACAACGACTCCTCTACATTTAATGTCCCCCCCCCCCCCCCCAACCACCCCCTCTTAAATTTTAACACCCCCCCTAAGTTCAATTCCTAGGGAAATCCCTGGGCAGCTTCAGAAGTGTATCGTCCTTGCACTCGTCGTCCTTGTCCGTCCGCTTTCGCCGACCAAAGGAACGGCCACACTAGCGGCAAAACGTGGCGGGGCGCCTTCCCGCAAGACCTGCTCCGCGGCAGGATTTTTTCTCCCGCAAAACGAATGCGCATCGACGCTATTTTTTTTCTGCGTGCCGCGCGCCGCGACCAAGAGGCGACCAATCAGAGAGCACCGCATTCAGTGACGTGTACGATCTCATGGCAACGCTTTTCTCGCCGAACGCGAGCGTTATTTTTGAGCCGCCAGCCGTCGGCCTCGCTCGGGAAACTCGCGTGATGGAGAGGATTCTTAAGACTGTGCCTATTCTTTCCTTTCCTTAACGACGAAAGTCATTTTGGGTACTCCACGTTAAAACGTGCCAAAAAAATAACTTCCGTTTTTCATTTTTTTTTTTTTTTGTTTTTTGCACGCAACGACGTTGCAACATTAGGGAGCGCACGATAATGGTAACTTTCACGATCGTGAGGAGGTTGTCGTCTGGGTCAGCCATCAAGGGAGAGGACGAGGCTCGAGCGCAGCCGCCGGAGCCGAAGGCCAAAGCGAAAAGTCCGGAGAATCTCGCGGGCGCTCGTTACCATCAAGAGAGCGCGAGATCTTGTGCGCTGTCACGTGACTGCCGACTGTCACATCACGTGCTGTCACGTGCTGATGCCCTTCTGCGCTTTGTCCCGGTGTGTGGGACCAGTCCCATGCTGTCGCTGCAGCGCAGCATATCTAATTTAATTTCGTGCATCTGCGATGATGTCCATGGCTATGGCGGTGATGAGAGGCGCCCCCATCCCCCTACTGCCCGGTGCCACATCACCTCACGACCGCCAAAATTACGACACGGCCTGTTTTCCGGTAAGTTGGAAAGGTGAAAAAACTTGATATTTCAATCATTTTTCGTGTAGAAGTTAATAAACCGAAACGAAAACGGATGCCTGCTCGGCGTTCAGTGAGCATTGAAGGTTCAATGTAAAAGCCATTTGGCAACAGTAAAAATGTAGTTTCATGGCTCTTTTAAGGCGCGAACGGAAATTGTGTGTGTGTGTGTGGAGGGAGGGGGTTAGTCGGTCGCCACCTCCTCCCCTTTCCCCCCTTTCGACCTCTTAAGGGCGAACTTTTTATGAAAAAAAACGACATATACCGTACCGTTTTTAGAAAAAGAGCATTAGTTTTGTTGAAATTGTGGTCATTGGGACAGAAACATAGATATGTGAAACGCTTCACCCATGACGTCACATCCATCCGTAAGGTCAAGAAACTGAGGGAGAGGAGGAGGCGCGGGGACGTCACTATGCCCAACTCTGGCTAGAATGATTAGTGGGTTGACCTAAAGCTAGCTGCCTTTGCCGCCACTACAGCCGTCAGACGCGTTCGAATGCGAGAGCCAAACGGATGCAGTGGAGACAAAGCCAGCTAGCTTTAGGTCAACCCGCTAATCATTCCAATCAGGGCTCGGCATTCTGGCGTTCCCGCGAGTTCTCGTCTCCTCCTCTCCCTCACTTTCTCAGCGCATAGTCTCGTTTGTTTCCTTTGCACACGACACCCATTTGTGCCGATACTCTTGTCCAGGGTTTATCTGTGTGTACTTAGGTTTATCTGTTGTAGCAGATTCCAACGATTGTAGCCTATTGTGACATTCAATGTAAGAAAGCGAGTTTTCGACATCTATCCCGACTTGTATATAAACACGTGCTTCCACGTGAACTTTTGAACAAATTGGCTTACTGGCCCTGCATGCCAATGGACCTGCTGTGTGTGTTCCCAACATAACGCACCTTCCACAACGAGCGGGCCAGATATAGCTACCGAAAGGCCGAAACTAGTATATAAATATATATTCCAGCATTAAATTTATGAATTATAAATTAAAACGTCTGCGACGCTCCTGTTAACAGAAAATTTGAATTAAAAAAAATATATTCTAGATGTGTCCTTAAACATGTAGCCTCAGCATGACTGGATTGTATTTAGTGCTCTAAAATATTGCTCAATGTAACGAGATGACCACCTCTTTTAAGAGAAGAATAGGACGTTTTTCTTGAAGCGCTACTGTTACCGCAATGCTTATTCGCTAGAGGTAAATAAAGAATATTTTTGCTTTCGTTTTATTCAGCACAAATTTCGGTCTCAGAGATAGGTGCGCGGGCGATTTGTCTTTAAAAAGTCTCGTGGCCCGACATCAGCCAATCCATAAAATCATTGTTCACTTACTCACGAAGTATCCCTTTCCACGGAATGGGTCAGCCGAAAGGTATATTTTTTCCTCAGTTGTTGAACCTAGAGGGCGGGGGGGGGGGGGGGGGGGGGGGGAGGGATTCCATGGTTTATAAATAATCAATTAACAACGCACCGAAAACCTCAACCTAAATTATTTGTAACTTATTGATAATTTAATGTGAAGTGGATCACACATTTCTGAAGTTGCGGAGGTAAGGTTAGTACGCAAATAATAATTGTTGGTTTCCTTCGAGGCGGTGCCGGACCCTTAACAGACACCAACGTCATGCGTGTTCTCTTGATCAGTTATACTTGTTCTCGGGTTTTTTCTCACAAATGAAGCGGTAAGTCTTTGAAAATCATAATGAACGCGTTTTCTTTTGAATTATTTGGCTTAACCTTCTGTCGAGCTCTCAAACAAAACGCCCTTACTTAGCATTTTTTTATTTGTGCCCTAAGTTGATGTTTTTTTGTTGTTGTTGTTTTTTTTGTTTTTTTTTTAGTAGTAGCTTTTTCTTGTGAAGCATGTGTACACTTCTTATTTAAAATCAAATATTGTGTTGGGCTTTCAAAGTTCTCCCTACAAAAGAGCTTGAAGAAACAAAGAAACTAATTGGACATCGTTTGATCTTGTTTTATTTCCTTCTTAGGCCCCCACATTGAGAGAAAGAATTAAAGACATATAATAAGGAGTGTGTTGCCTAGCCGCGACAAAAGCATTATGCTTGCGTTTTTTTTTACGTTTATCAACTTCTTCTATCTAACTCTCCCCACGTTATAGTGCATAATTACACTGAGAAAAAGATGTGCGGCCAAACGATAGCGGGGAAAGTGCATATCATTCCAACAATGCAATGATCCAGTGAACGGGGTGTATAAATTACCGGCGGCAACGAGAATGATCAAATCGGTCTGGCTCTCATACTTCGCCGTGAATGTGAGTCTGAAACAGAAAGAAAATAGACTCAAGATATTATAAAAACCAAGAAACTTATCACGAATTAACACCCTAACTACAGTATTTGCTTCATTTAATATATAGACTTAATTAACCTACAAATCCACATGGGCGGATCCAGGGGGGGGGGGGGGGGGGGTCCTGGGGTCCGGACCCCCCCCCCCTTTTTTTTTTTAGCCAGCCAGCTAAGCTCTCCGGACACCAGTGAAAAAGACGACGGTCCGTTTCTCAGCTTACGCGACCGCAACTATGGTTTCTTACCCAAGGGTCGTGCAAGCACGCTTGCACGACCCTTGGGTAAACAAAACCACGCGACACCGCCGTCCGCCGTTACGAAGTTTCAAATTTGGGCGAGGGGAGCAGCGGCGCCTTCCAAGGCCCAGGGCGCCGGCGAGGCGAGCGGGTCAGTTTAGAGTTTTGGTTTCAGACCGAAAACGGAACAAACAGAAATAATCATATCAAATAGATTACAGTTGATTTTCATGGCGCGGTGAAGACGTTTTGTTGAAATTACTGTTAGCAAACAAAGCTTTATATTTGTATTTTTATATTAATGAGAGCCCCCCACCACCCAAGCGCGGCTGTCGGTGGCGACGCTATACACAGCGCCACTGACAGTGGCGACGCTATTGTCAGCGCCGCGAAACTCGGACTGTGACCGGGGGTAGAGCACTATATAGCTCCTACGGAGCAGAGTAACGCAATCCTTTGAACCCCGTGTTTTGCCGACAAGATGGCCGACAGAGCGGCTCGGCGCGAGTCAAGTGGTACTCGGGGTTCCAGGAGGCGGCCCGCCCTATGGGAGAATACATGGAGATCGACACAACACGGCTGATTAAAAAATGAACGGCGAGTTCACACTTTTCAAAACTAGTCTGTCGTGAAGTTAGTAAAGCACTAAACACTTTATCAAAGTTTTAACAATATCGGATGCGTGTGCAAATTTTGAGAAGGCAATTTCCAAGGCAATGGCGTTTGAAGCAGACGATTTTTGCTCGCAGCGGAGATGGGCTTTTCGGGTTGGCCGGAGCGGGTCACGTGAATGGTGTGACGTCGCCGTGTCGTCTGCTGCATGATGCCGCTCAGGCAATTTTTTAAAAAAAGTCAGGTCCTTGCGGGGCACAAAACTCAGCGCAAATTATTCTAAAGTGTTCCATTATTATGTCAAAAGTGATTGCGATTCCGTACATTCCCACAATATTGGAGAAACAACGATTTTCTCACTTCTCACATTCTCCATGCATTTCTGACCGCAGTTGGAACCTCCGGGCGTTCGCCGCTAGTCGCCGAGAGGCGGCGTTCTAGATTGCGCTACTCTGCTTCGAAGGAGCTATATAGTGCTCTAACCGGGGGTTGGCGCATTGACTCGTCTCCGCAAGGGAAATCTGAGGCCCAACAGTTCGCAGACAGCTCCCCGGACGGCGCTAGTTACTCGAAAAGGTCCATTCTAAAAAGCTGTAAAAAGTCTCCGTCTCTGCACACGTCCAGACTCCAGCCTTCAGACACAGCTGCCGTACAAAAAGCAATGGGTCCTCGCGTCCATGGTGTATCTCTTCCAATAATGCATATTTTCGGATAGTCTTGTTTGAGTGTGTCCAGCTCCAGTGATGCAGCGTAAAGTGACGTCTTATTTTGCGCTAAGTGTCGGCAATTGTGAGGATTCCCAACTATCGAGTGCCTCAACCAGCCATCTGGCGACTTCGGAGACAGGGCCCGACACACCGGACCAGTCCGAAGAACAGCTTTGGCCGGAACCACCGAAACGACAACGCACGGAGGTAGTTCCATCAAGTAAGGAAACATCCGTAGACTGTGGTTTTATTGCAGATGGGAGCGTGCCCTTGGTAACGCTGGAAGGCACTGAAAAGCTTCACTACATCCCAAACCACTTCGTGCCTCCTTTCAACTACAGCGCATTTGTAAAGCAAACTGTTACAAAAGGAACAGCGAAAAGAGAAAAAAACTTTGACATTTCAGCACTCGTGGCTGGAAAAATACCGATGGCTAGTGTACAGCCCCCACCTGCGTGGCGGGCTATGCAAATATTGTGTACTCTTCTCTCCCCGAGATCCACGTGTCGCCAAAGCGGGTGTTTTAGTCAGCAAGCCACTAAATAACTTGTCCAAGGCCGGTGGCAAAGATGGCTTTCTTGAATGCCATCAACGCCTTCGCTACCACAGCGATGCGACGGCTCAGGCTATGACGCTAAGGTCAAGTTTGGACAGGCCAGATGCCACTATTCCTGTCATGATCTCTAACAAAAACAAGGAGCTGTATGAAAAGAACTTGTGCATCCTTGAGGTGCTTGTGAAGGCTGTTCTACTTTGCGGACGACAAAATATCCCTCTTCGTGGCCATCGCGACGACGAGACGAATGCGTCAACCAACCGAGGCAATTTTATTGCCATTGTCAACTTAATAGCCGAGCATGATTCGCGCTTGAGGACGCACCTCGATACAGCAGCACGAAATGCGAAGGGCACATCAAAAACAACCCAGAATGACCTGATTGATGACATAAAAACTTACATCCAAGCATCGATTGCTGAAAAGATAACTGGCGAGTCGCGAGTGTTTTCAATAATCGCTGACGAGGTTATTGACCGGCGCTCGAACCAAGAAATTTTGTGTGTCTGTTTACGTTATCTCGTCTTTGAGAACCAGCGAGTTCATATAAAGAAAAGCGTGATTGACTTCGTGCACATGGAGAGAACCACGGGGGCATCACTGGCTTCCGCAATCATCCGAAGCTTGGCTGCTTGCAACGTGGACATTACAAAAGCAAGGGGACAGTCGTATGATGGAGCGGCAGCGATGTCATCGTCCCGGGTTGGTGTCCAAGCTAGAATCAAAGAGGCGTCCCCAAAAGCTCTCTACACTCACTGCAGCAATCACAGGTTAAACCTAAGCATCCCAACAGCCTGCAAGATTCCGCAAGTGCGCCTCACCGTTGACGTCATCAATGAGGTATTTTGCTTCTTTGACATGTCTCCGAAGAGGCAACGTTTCTTGGAACGAGTGCTAGAGGCATACGGTTCAGAACAAGCGAAGAGGAGGCTTTGCGGTTTGTGTCGCACAAGATGGGTAGAACGACACACAGCACTGGATACGTTTTATAACCTGTACCACTACGTGTGCCTCTGCTTAGAAGCTATGACTGTGCCCGCCCAACACCGCCATGTTTACGCGCGAACTGACATCGAAGCTAGCACCGATGACTCACGTGACCTTCCGCCCGCCGAGCAGTGGTCCTGGGACCGCGACACCAAGATGAGGGCGGCCGGCCTACTCGTCAATCTGAAGTCATCGGATACGATCGTATCTTTTATGATTGTAAAAAATGCCTTGGAGGTCGTGAAGCCCCTTGCCATGAAGCTTCAGAAACGGGATCGGGACTTCATCGACGCGTATGGTATGACTGATTCTACCATCTCTAGACTTCGGGCGTTGCGGTGTGAAGTCGAGCAAGAGTTTAAATCGTGGTTCAACGACTCCGTCAAGCTGGCAGATCTTGTTGGGACCGAAATTCAAACTCCAAGAGTAGTTGCTCGTCAAGCTCACCGTTCGAACAATCCGTCCTCATCTCCAGAAGAGCTTTACAGAACCAACACGGCAGTTCCTTTTATTGACCACATGCTCCAAGAGATGGATACGCGATTTGCTCAGGAGGAAAGGGTAGGCAAGGCAATATTTTGCTTACTACCATCGTACATATTGAGTGATGGCCCGGACACTCTAGAGCGGTCTCTTCACGAAGAGCTTCTGTTCTGGGAAGAGGATCTCCCGTCTCCGTCATCGCTGCGGCACGAGCTCCAGGAGTGGTGTAGATTCTGGAGGACTCAGACTCTGCACAGCGTTCCTGAGGATCTTCGTGATACCTTGTGCAGCACCGACGGCGACGTGTTTCCGAACATTCGTCAGCTATAAATAATTGGATGCACGCTTCCCATTTCAAGCGCCGAGGCAGAGCAGAGTTTTTCTGCTCTACGAAGAGTCAAGTCCTACACGCGAAGCACAATGACAGAAGAACGTTTCACTGGACTTGCTCTAATGCATGTCCATCAAGACATTCCGATAGACACCAAAGCGATTTGTCTGGCGTTCATCAGAAAGCATCAGCGTCGGATGTTTAGTGCATGCGTGATGTACGACTGAAGTACGACAGCAGTACCATAACAGAACTGTACATTGTTTCCATTAATCCCGTCATGTTTTTAATAAAACGCAAATATTCATTGTTCCTCTCTCAAAAAAGGCAAAGGTTTGATACAATTTATCACAACATAATTGCGGTCAATCTGTGTCGGCGCCTGTAGCACTTTCCCCAGCCAATAAGCATTTAATGGGTGAGGGAAGTAGGAGGAGAGGGGGGGAGGAGAGCAGGGAGTGATGCCCGGCTCCCGCGATCGAATGATGGGTCTATCCCCCCCCCCCCTTTCCCGGGTCCTTGCTGGACCCCCCCCCCCCCCCTTAGACAAAACCTGGATCCGCCCCTGATCCATATATAAAAAAATATTGTGTCATTCACATTAAGCACTCTAGAATGGGCCCTGAAGTAATGTGAAAGAGAAGTCGACGTATATACTGGACGCTCACATCACGAAGGTAGTTTCTTCGCGGAGTAAAAGGAACTGCTTACTCTGTGTAGCTGTCTTTAGTACCGTTGATGGCAAACCACACGTCTCCTTTGGAGTCAGTATCATTCGGCGAGGTTCCGTCAAAAAGTACCGTGTAGTTGACAGCATTTTCGGGCTCTACGGTTGTGCCGTTTCGGTAGCACTGATACAGCACTATTGGGGTCGTCTGAATCTCCTGAAATTGTACATCAAAGTTTGAATATCGCAGTTGCACCTAAAAAAATATTGAGAGAAGTAATCGGAGCTCCACGTTTATCAGAATAGTTTAATGCAGTATATACTACAAGTAATTGGTTTTGTTATTGGCAGTTGCTTTGCCCTTTACTTTAAAGTGTTATATTGCTTTCTATTGCACCATTTCAAGTGTTTTCATCAATGCTTTCTGGCTACACATCCCCCCCCCCCCCCCCGACCATGATAGCATCATATTTGGGGGTTGAAACCTAGAGGTTAACAGAAAGATCGTCGAAGCATTATTTGGGTGTTAACGAGGCGATACAGACTTTTGAAGCAGAAAGAAAGGAAATCAAAACTGTAAATTGGATCAACTTTAAGATTGGATTTACTGGAGAAAATTTTTAAAGGCATTTTATTAAAAATAATTATCATGTTGCACGTGAGGTATAAATTTATCGAATATTATTGGGGTAACGTTTTTGTAGCTTTCGACCTGTTCGAATCGAGTGAAATACTTTTTTGAATGCAGACATCTGTGTTTTTTCTTACTTTGTTGCAGATCACGTAAAACGACTCTTTACTTAGATTTTCATTTTGGAACAACGTTTAAATACTCGTGGCATCATTAATAACTAACTTTCTTGGCTTTCGAGCTTAGGGTCAATGATTATTTATTAAATTTAATAAATAACCTAGCTTTAACAGTTACTAGTAAACAAAATGGTCGTATTCTCCAACTGGTCCAGTGGCACAAATTCGTTTGCATATTTCACAAAATCGATCTCAGTGTTGTCTCTTCATCTGCTGAAATTCTGGAGAATCATAAATAAAGAAGACATAGAGTATTCATACGTCATTAAACCTTGCTGTCGGGGTGCTACCAGAGGCAATTCCAAGAAGAACAAATAGCACAATCTGGGCACTGGATATAAATCTTGAGCATATGGCTGCCATGCTTCTGGAAAAGTTCAAAATAACGTCAACACACAAGACGCAATTGAGCCTGAAATGCCTTTTAATAAAAAGGACGAGCAGCAGGATCTGCTAAAAAAAACGTTTTAGACATGATTTTAATTGTTCTCACTATGTCAGCGTAGTTCTAGAACAATAGCGCACAGTTGTGCAATGTTCCAAAATACAAGACGTATTTTGGAACTAAAATAGAAAGTACAAGATCGTTGTTAACATACATTCCCAAATAAATTATACATTAAAAGTCATGTATTGAAGCTAATAGGCTGGCGTGAACTACATTTCATAAAAATGCCTATGCGTATGTTTCTTCTCAGAGGAAAACGAGTATCAATCACTGCATGCAAACCTCGTCCGGTGAATAACGGGCCCAAAAACGAAAGCAAAGGCAATGTTCCTGAAACCGGATATCTGCGGGAGCATAACGAGAATAGCGCTTTACATGTTCATCGTCCCTGTGGAGATTTGTATACTTGTATTGTGTTATATATATATATATATATATATATATATATATATATTATTCTATGATGACTCTTTTCTTACAATATCCCCCGGAGAAGCGAGCCAAGTTAAATAATATACCAGGTATGTGAGCTCCGCACCCGTCGCACCACATTGGAACACTATCTGCTTCGGTGGCTAATTGGAGCGTTGAGCATGTTTGTAGATATCTGTCGTTCAAGGCTACACCAGGAAGAATTAATTTGTTCCCCTAACCCTAGTCACGCCCGACGATTGCTAGTGGTTGCAGCGACGACATACTAAAGTTCACAAACACAGAACATTTCTTTTTTGCAAAAAAGTTTCCATTAGTCTTAGTACTATCTTTCAAGTTACAGACCCTGTATGTCCAATGACATGAAATTCCAACCAACATTTTTTCGCACTGTTCTAAACTATATGTATGTACATTTATTTTCCTAAACTGCGTAAAGGTGAGTGAAATATTGTGGTTAATGCACATGTATTTAGGGTGACCGCCCGTCCCGCGACTCGCGGGACTGTCCCGCATTGAGGGCTTGTGTCCCGCGTCCCGCAAGAAGTTCCCAAATCTTGAAATTGTCCCGCATTTTATGCTGTAGTGAAATTCACTCTGCAACTCATGGTGCTGCCGAACAACGGGGCACGGGGAAGCGCGGAGGTCGCTGGTAATCGTGTGAATCGCAATAGTACGCCATTTCATACACAACAATTGCGGGGAGCGACCGTCGTTCATTCAGGAGATGGATGCGCATGCTCCATTTTCCCTCTCCCCTTGGTGGCTAAATATTTTAAGAAAAATTGCTCGCCAAAAGTTTCAATATAAAATATTGTGTCAATGCAAAAAGATTGCTTTAGATCTTTGTTTTAGTGAGGACAGCCACACAAGGCAAAAAGCCTACAACTTGCAACAGTCGAAAAAGAACATAATGCTAAAAGTGTGTGTAAGACCATGTTGATAAAATCAAGCGTTGAAAAAAAAATAGCCGGAAAAAACATTTACTGTTTCTTATTTCCCATTGATGCATTGACTTCTGCTGCAGCCGATTTTTATGTTTTCAACTTCGACACAGTTAATGGCACATTTGTCATAAAGAAATATATCACTGGGAGTGAAAATCAACTGAGCTTATTTGCTGCAATACAATTAGCAGGTGTATAAACAGCAGAGGATATTAAATAATGTTCCTTTATCCCCCCTCCCCATCGCCTCGCGTGTCCCGCATTTCGCTAGCAGGAAGGTGGTCACCCTGCATGTATTCCTCAAAACAAAAGCCGCTACCTAAAAGCATCACCTTCGAGAAACTACTGTCATCGTTATGCCTAAAATTCGAAACAGAGAAGTTCTATTAAATTAGCGACATTCGTCACTTCTGCGCGTACGACTGATTGAAAATGTTTTTTTTTTTTTGATGAATGATTACAATTGTTATTGCATCTTTAGCCTTTTTATTACTTCTTTTGTACAGTCGGCACGGAATGAAACGCGAACATGGAGCACATGGTTTTCGACCCACGCTGAGTCACCTAGAGACGCAACACCGAAGGTTTGGATGCACTGAGCAAGAGTCTAACACATCGAAGGAGGAGCCATCTTCTTGCAGCTCCCACCTGGTTCAGGTGGTGCAGCATCTAGCGAAAACCATGCACCCACTGTTCGCGTTTAATTCCGTGCCGACCGTACGTATAATAAAGATGAAGCTATCAAAACCTTTTACGTACCTTCTGTATAATTGAAAAGTCTCGCTTCTCTTTGGGTTCAGTACGGCTCAGCGACGTTGTTTTGTGTAAAACAAGCCTGCAACACCAGAGCTTATGAAAGCTCTTCGCCAACAAAGTAACTACAAAATTCTCAGCAGCAGGTAGATTTTGCTTTGCAAGCGGCACTGTGTTACTACATTTTCGAATGTGTACTTTGTATTACGTGTTTTATTTCTCTTTCAGCACCAGCCGCCAATCCTCTTCAAGCTGCCAGGTGTAGCCAGGCGTCCCTGCAGATGAAAACGCGGGAAGGGGGAGGGGGGGGGGGGGTATTTGTGTTTGAAGGCCATCATAACAATTTTGATTAACCTTGCCTCGTGGCAATAACTTTTTTTATATAATTTAGGTTCAGAGAGCCTTGACATACTGAATACCACTGGAAAAAAATATTTTTGCTACCGATTTGAAATGAGGAAACAAAACAACACCGGCTTTGCTTATGAGAGAAGTTGGACGCAATGGGTATAGAAGTAGTTTGTTTGCAGCACACTGTTATTCACCGGAACGCGAACTATTATTCTGTGACGCACTCAAATGTAATATTTATTTTAGATCGTCAACTCTTCCCGTTTGCACAAAACGAAATCGAAAAGCTGAGAACACGAAAGCCAATATAGAGGTAGAGAAGCTGCATTGGCACTTTTTGAAGGCGAAGTTACTAAGTCAAGATAGGATTGTGCATGAAAAGAACACGGCACAAATTGACTCCCTGGCTCAGTAGGATACGAAACTTAAATTGAGGAGACATTTTCTTTACGATTATCAAATGTTGATTTCCAGACAACGGGGAGTGCTTCACACAGGTTAACATCATTATATATAATGGGCTCGGCTCGGGCTCAACCGGTGGCAATGTTTCCAACGTTGGCAGCAAAAAATAAGATACCGATAAAATATCCTAAGTAATGAATAGAACGTTAGAGCGCGAGCGAGCTGGTGATGATTAAACAGAATGAACTATAACACTGAGACTAGGGAGAGAGCCGGCGATCAGAGAGAGGAAGAAGAGGAGTCTCAAACACCGCCGTGTTTGAGAATCCTGTTCTTCTCCTTCCCCGTCGTCTTTCTTTCTAGTCTCAGGGTCATAGTTCATTATTTTTAAACCAAGTAACAGTTTTGTTGGCCAAAAGTCGGTTGTAGTTTTGCACTTTAGGATTGTGAAAGCCCAAAAAAATTGAAAGGATACCCAAGCTTGACATTATTCGGCTAGAGTCTGGATATTTTCGCCTTAAGTTGGCAAAGAAGTGTCCAGTTATCCTCCAATGCCCTAATGTTCGGTTGCCATCTGGCATCTTCGGGGTTAAATTACCAAGAAAATTCCAGTTTTAGCCTTCCCTGTTGGTTGTTCGGTTCTCACGTGGCATCTTTGGGTCATGTCAGTCCCATGGTGAGCAAGAGAAAAGTCAGGCTTTGCATTTCACTGGCTAGTTAGGGCAAACGAAAAGTTATTTGGTTCTACCTAACGCCTTGGAGCAAAGCCTAGATAGGCCCTAGGATTGCCAAAACTTGGACGAAGTTTGATTTTTCTCTGGCGTGCTGCCTGGGATAAACAAAGAAACTAAGCAGGAACTTTGTTTGCAGAAATGAATTTGAAGAGCCGAGGGGAAATCTTGTGTTTCTTGCCACCCAGCGCCAATTCAGCGTGGTGTTCTTGAGTGTGATGCAATACACTAACCTCACAGCCAGTGTCGTTGCGCCACCTCTGCCGGCATGCATCGTGGTAGCTGTAGTCTCTGCGACCACAGCGCGCGAGCAGAGCACAAGACAACACGAGCTGTCTCGTTCTCTGGCGTCTGCCTCTTGTGAACTACAGTTATGCGGTGTCACGCATGCGCGTAACGCTTACTGAGATCGGTCTATTGCTGAATACTGAACCGGCAGAGATTTTTATCACCTAAATAATTGCATCAAGACAAAATGTTCATAGTCAAAATGTCCTATATATGACATTCTGTCCCGGACGTTTCAACCTGGGTAGTCCTTTTTACTCGATGGGCATTTAATCCCGATTGACATTTTGACCCGTTAGACACTTTATCTCGTTGAGTCATATTTTAACTCTGGAGCTGATACAGACTTGTATACATAAGCAGTATATACGTATACACATGAGTTCTTGCACAAACCGTCACAATCTGACCGTTTGCGTAAATCTGAGTAACCTTTTTAATTTTGTCACCAGTAGGGTAGCCATATTTCTCCATTTCGGATGTTTAGGGGAGAACAGCGTTTTCTATTCAAATACTAAAACAAACATTGCGGCCCGCTCAGCCTACGACAGAATGCCGAATGTTCAAAGAAAAGGGCTAGAAATTTTACAAAATATAAGCGACTTAAAAAGAAAATGATTAGCGACAAAATAGGGCGCGTTCGCTGCCTTCAGTTGCGCATATATAGCAATTTGAAAACAATGACAAAAATGTGGTCCCGCGAACCATTCACCCCATGCTAATGAATACGAAGAATAGTATTTTAATTCTCAAAACTTTGTTTGAGAAATATGGCAAATATAATACTTGAGAAAAAAAAAACACTAATTCACAGCCTGCACGGTCTTTGTTGGCCGTTAGTTCAACAATAAGAAACATCGCTTTCTTCTGAAGACCTCGGCTTCGGTATCGATGTGCTGGAGTTACGTTATGGCAAATTTTAATTATGTTAGCGCTCAGAAAACATAGTTGTATCCGCTTTTAACGGCCTGTATATTGGTAGAACTGATGGTTTGGTACAACTAAAAA